AGCAAACAGTTTTACAGTCATATACATAACAGTATTAGAAATATTACATTTTTTTAAAAACCTATGATAATAGGCTAATATGCAGTTTCTCTAATTATGAAGAAGGAATACTCTATAGTAACATAATTCTTTGAAAGCAAAGTTATAAAATAGTAAGAAAACTAGCACATTATTAATTTTATATTAAATATCATTCACTTTATGCCTATGTAAGCATGGACGAGTACCAGCATATATTTTACACATTTATGATACATCTTTTTCTCAAAAATTCTTTTGCTATTTTCATAGTATTGGTTCATCTGTGAGTTTTTTCAAATCATCTCAAGTCTGAAAAATTTTTTCCAATATTTGTTTTTAAAAACCTGCATATAACTGGACTACTTGCACAGTTCAAATTGTGTTGTTCAAGGGCCAACTGTAGGTTGAATTTAAAGTCATTTCCTGGACTTGTCTTCTTTATGTGATCTGCGTGGGAAGGCCAAGAAAAAACGATTTACAAAGCAAGCTCAATTTAGTTGACTATAGGAGTAGAGTGACTTATTTTGTGATTCTGACTGCATCATCATAAAAAACTAGTGTCCTTTTTTTTTTTTGGTCTTTGGTCTTCTAGTTATGAGACTGGTTATTCCACTTCCTTGACACAGCAATCTCTGTCAAGAGATTGAATATGATGAATATGAATAATTGATTGCTAAGACTTAGTACTGATGTAGCTTGGTAAAAACATTCACTTTTATGTTTTCTAATTTATTAAAAAATACAGAGATCAGCTTTCATTCCCAGTGGTGGAGTAATGATTTGATTACTATGACATAAAAGCATAAACCATGCCAATTTTTATATTTCAAAGAATTTTCCCCTCTAAATTATACCTGATGTAGTTTTTACCTGCTTGAGACTGTATAGTGATTGTCGTGGAATGTATTGCTATTTGTCTGTGTGTATGTTTATCTTTAATGTAATGCCATGCAGAGCATATTGAATTTCCTTTATTCCTTCGACATTTGCTGATAGACTGATCATTTATCCCGCTGTATTACCTCTCCAGAAACAACATTGTTTTTTAAAGTTGAGATTTGCAATAAAAATTGTGATTACTCCTATTTAATGGGTAGGAAAAAGCAAATGACTGTGTTTGGATATGATGAAACCTATGAAATGTAAAAAATAATATGAGGGTAATGGAAAAGAGGCATTATAAAACTGAGAAAATAATTTAAATAAAATTCAACAGCCTTATAACACCATTATAGTTAAAGACATCTCCTGTTTCCATGATCAAGTCACACAATTTCATACGAGTGGTGACTTTTCCCCTAGCAACTACAAAATGATATTGTAGGCTACATGATAGTCCATAGGGGCCTCAGTTTTGTAATCTGAAAAAAACCTGAACCTCTGTTCAGTGTATAAGACTGTAAGTTAATTTCTTAGGGAGGCATTAAGTTGTAGATACGGTTTTTCCAACTAAAATTGCTCTTTCAATGAAAAGAAGTGTTTTGAATCTTAGATTGCAGTAATAAGTATAAAAATAGATAAAGCATCATGTATTAGATTCTTGCCCTATTTTAAAAGGGTAAACACTGAAATAGTCAAGCTGTGAAGTGTCCTGTGCATTAATAATGTTGACACATTGAACAAATGCCTGAAATGGTTCACAGAAGACCCTGTTATTCCAAAGCATTGTATAAAACTGTTCCACTCTTAGTTGGGTTAATATTCTAAACTGTAGCTATGATTTTGAATTTTTATTTGTATATTATTAATAGTTTTGCTTTACTCAAAGGGTCTATTACCAGGTATTCTCTGTGTATTATATGTAGTTCTGATGGTTTTCTATGACAGTAAATAAAACTTTAATTTTTCCAGTGGGCTGCCATTTCTTTGTTCCTAAATGGTTTATCATTTAGTTAAGAACCAGGAATAAAAGAGAACTGAGGCTGTCATATACTCCTACAGAAGTCACAGTTGTTAAGGGCTGGTTTCATTATCTGTTAAATGAGTCCTTACTGATCAGTCCCTTTCTTCAGGGTGCTATAAAGCACTGACTATTGGGTCATTTTTCTGACTGGCCATTAGTCCCACATATACTGTCATCCTCATACCCAATGTATCCTTCCTCTTAGAATCATTAGTAGGTCCTCCTCAGACACAAGGTAAAAGCTCTGAAGCAACTCTCTGAGTCATTCTAGCATAAATAGCAATGTCTTAGTGTATTTGGGTTACTGTGACAAAAATACCACAGATGCATGGCTTATGAACAACAGAGATTTATTTCTCACAATTACAGAGGCTAAGAAGTCCAAGATCAAGATACTGGCTGATTTGGTGTCTGATGAATGACCTCTTTCTGCTTCATAGGGGTTGCCTTCTCACCATGCCATCAATGTGGCAGAGTCTAGAGAGTTCTGTTGGGTCTGTTTAATAAGAGCACTCATATCATTCAAAAGGGCTCCACTCTCATGACCTAAGCACTTCCCACAGGTCCGGCTCTTGAATACCATCACACTGGGCATTGTTTCAATGTATGCATTTAAGGGGACCACAGATGTTCAGTCTACAGCAAGCAACCACCACATATATTACTACTTTGTTTATATTATCATTAAGCCTTTAAAAAACTATGGCAGGTATTAAAAAACTATATGGCAGGTATTATAATACTTTTTTTAAAATGAAGTAACTATATCTCAAAGATGTCAAAAAAAAAAAAAGGCTAGTAAGAGATAGACCCCAAACTGAGAGACCTATCCGGCTCTCAAAGCTTTTTCTCCTCTGATTTAGAATCTTTCTGATTTGCATATTTACAAGGAATGGCGTCCACATTTTTGTACTCTGGACCCCTTACTTTGATATTTGTTGTATGTGTAACATACAAAATACGTGTTAGTATAGTTTATGTACTCAGTAAGGCTTCTCTGGTCAACAGTAGTGCTATTAGCAGTTAAGCTTTGGGTGAATCAAAAAGTTATATGCATTTTCAACTGTGTGTGGGGTGGGTACCCCTAATCTCTGAGTTTCTCAAGGACCATACTTTTCTGATAAATAGAAATAAATGTCTAATTTTACAATTTTCAGAAACAAATAGTACATACTTAATAAGCATTCTCTAAACGGAAGAGTTAATACAAAATGTGGTGAAGGAGTAAAGCTGGAGTTATAACTAGTTAAGAATTATTCCCAGAAGTTCTCTAGCACAAAATTGGATTTGTGAAAGAATAAAAATTATCAATATTATCTCATCTAAAATTCTTGAAGAATTTTTTGCTACTTTTTCATTTAATTTAATTATCTATTCAAAAATGTCTACTGGACATTTTCTATGTGATCAGCACTGTTCTATAGGCTGGTTTGTGGTGGTTGGCGGTTTTAAAAAGTACTCTGCTACCATGGAGCTTAAGTTCTAGAAGGTGGATGAAGATGATAAAATAAAGAAGTAAATGATATATATCAAAAGATGATAATTGCTTGGAGAAAAATAAAGCAGGGAAGGAAAAGAAGGAGAATCAAGGGATGTGATGGTAACGGGGTGTTGAATTTTTAAGTGAGAGTCTGGAAAGACTTTTAAAACAGAAAGTGAGCACAGATTTAAAGGACATTTGGGTGAGCCATGTGTATGAATATCTGGGAAAGCAGCGTTCCAGGAGTGAGAAGAGCAAATGCAAAGACCCTGAAGTAGGAACAAGGCTGACATGTTCTGGGGTTAATAACAAGATTATGTGGCTGAAATAGAGTCCACAATGAGGACAGTAGTAGGAATGAGATCAAAGAGGTAAAGGAGGCCGTATTGTCTGGGGCCTTGTAGTTCAAGGTAATAACTTCGAGTTTGACTGAGTGAGATGAAGAGCCAGTTCATAAGAGCAAAAGTATAACATCATTTGACTGGCATTTTGACAGGATCTGGCTGCTATGTTGAGAACAGACTGTAGAGACTGGCAAGGGTGGAAGCAGGGAGACCTGTTCAGAGGTTACTGTAACAGTTCAGGTGAGAGAAGATGGTGGCTTAGTTGATAGCAGTGCCAATGGTAATGCCTGGTTAGAACCTGTTTCAGTATTTGCTGATAGGTTGTTGAGCGTTGTTAGAGAAAGAGGAGACCTGCTTTTTACTTTCCTTTATTGGTAAAGGTAGGTCATAGCTTGTATTTAATGTAATGTAAACAAAACCATCTGCACCAGCCATCAAGTTTCTCTTACCTAGTATACTGAGCATTTTAGTTTACTTTGCAGGAAATTCAGCATGTTTTAATGGACACTACCAATTCTATGCAGAATGGCAAAGTATCTTAACAATCATTTTATTAATTTAGACCAAGAATTGTCAAATTATGGGCCAAGGGCCAAATCTGGCTCATAGCCTGGTTTTGTGAATAAAGTTTTATTGGATCATACACACATTTTTTTTTCCTACGTATTGTACATGGCAGCTTTCCTGCTTCAAAAGCAGCAGAAGCCCAGGAAGCCTAAAATATTTACTATCTGGCCCTTTATAGAAAAATGTTTGCTGACCTTTGGTTTCAACTATTGTGTCAGAGTTGTGCCAAGATTTTCCTCTCATCTTTTTCCAAGTATGAAGAGGAAATTTAAGAGGGGACAGAAAGTGACAATAGAGGGAACAAAAGGGTAATATTCAAATACTGGCACCAACATATTTCTCTCCCTTATGTTAATCTGCCTGTTTCTTTGCTGTAGATATCCACTTCTCCCTCATCTCTGAAGTGCCCTGTGTTGAGATACAAGTACACATAACTGGCCTAGAAAAAAAAAAAAAAAGTTGTTTTTCTCAATAGTAAAGATTTACTGTAGGAATGAATCTTGGATGCTAGAAACTAAATTGTTAAATTTCACAATCTTGATAGAAAATAAAAGATAAGTATCAGCATCAGCATGAGCATCAATCTTTATGAAGAATTTGACTCATCTTATCTTATGATTTTGTATAATCCTGTACAAATGAAGTACAAATAAGTTAGACCCCCATTGTTGTTTGGTTTTTATAGGTCTATAATGACGGATTTATACTACCTCAGTCAAACAGATGGAGCAGGTGATTGGCGGGAAAAAGAGGCCAAAGATCTGACAGAGCTGGTGCAGCGGAGAATAACGTATCTTCAGGTAAGAAGGTTAGGTTAATGAATAAATTCGAGTGAAAAATAGTAGGAGAAACATTAAAACTAAGAGCTGCTGCTGGTTTTTAGTCTTCCTAGCCCTTGCTTTTTGAAAGTATTTGTCCAATCATTTTACATATTTATTCAAAAAGACTCTATGTCATGCCTTGAATGGAATATAAAGATGGCTAAAACAAGATCCCTTCCCTAACAGGGGCTACTTCTGACGCATGCACACACAAAAACTATAGTGCAAGATAGGAAGTGCCGCGTAAATGAGATATGATGAAATGCTCATTGGAGGGCAATGTCACAGATAGCTTTGTGGAAAAGATATTATTTGACCGAGCTGTAAAGGATAATCATGTAGGATTTAGATGTCCAGAAATGGAGAAGAGTGTACTAGCTACAGCATGCTGTTTGCTGCGCTCATTTGCTCAGTTGTGCCCAACTTCAGATGATGTGAGTAAAGCTCCTACCTGGGAAAGAGCAGTATGGGAACCCAGCGAGAAACAGGATATCTCCATTTATCTGGAGTTTTGGTTGTGTGAAAGGAGAGTTGGAAAAGGTAGGTTTGGGAGCCAAATTGCCGAGGTCCTTGTGTATAGGTTAAGCTTTATGGTGCATAAGCGGCAAATGGTTGCCGAAAGATTTTATTTACTGCCTAACATCATTATAACAACAAACAGGAAATATAAATCAAGGGTAAACTCCAAAGTCCCAGGCCCTTTTAAATGTTCTGTCTTCATTTTGCGTGTATATTTTCTTTTAGTTCTTACTTACATGCTTACCAAGTCTTAAAACGTTTGTAAAGACAGAGTTAATTTACTTTTGAATTTATTTATTTATTTATTTGCTTAATATACCATAAACCTTTTCTAGTTTAGAGTCACAACCTACTTTTGAAAAATTTTTGTACAAAAGAGTATCATGATAAGAGTGGTGCTTTAGTTATACTAATCTGAAAGGTAGAATTTTGCTTGAACTGGATTCTTTGGCAGAGATTGAAAGGAGGCTGTTTAGGACAGGAGTCCCCAACCTCCAGGGGCTCCCCTGGTGGCTCAGCAGTAAAGAATTTGCTTGCCAATGTAGGAGACACAGGTTTGATTCCTGGTTCGGGAAGTTCCCCGGAGGAGGAAATGAAAACCTACTCTAGTATTCTTGCCTGGGAAATCCCATGGACAGAGGAGTGCAGCGGGCTACAGCCCACGGGGTCACAAAGAATTGGACACAACTTAGCAACTAAACCAACAGCAATCGCAACCAGTACCTCCTGCCATTAGGTTAGAAATGAAGTGCACAATAAATGTAATGTGCTTGAATCATTCTGAAACCATCTGTCCTCCACCCGGATCCGTGGAAGAATTTTCTTCCACTGAACCAGTCCCTGGTGCCAGAAAGGTTGGGGACCACTGGTTAGGATATAAAGACAGTATTGCAGGTGAGAAATATTGAGGTGTGTGGCAGTTTACATTGGAAGGGAAGAAAGGAATTTCAGAGAGATTGGGAAGATCGAATAGATAAGCCTTTCCAAGAGGCTGAAGCAACTGGAATGCGTAGGGTAATGGGGTATTATTAACTGAAAAGAAACTTTGAAGTTAGAATGCAGTCATCAGGGGCAAACAATGAATTAGTAAATAGAATTCTGTAACACTCCGAATGCTTGAGATGATCATCCCCACCCATTTCTAGTGATGGTATGCTTTCTGTGTACACTCACTCTGTTTCCCTTTGAAAATTAAAGTGTCTTATAAAAGCAAAATAATAGCCAGTGACTTTATTTTGTATATTTTAAGATGCACATTTTCCTACACTTAAATAGGAAAAAAGTAGAAAATCAAGTGCATCAAGAGATCATTAAAAACAAAACTGATCTTGGCATGCTCACTTGTCTCATGCCCCCATGATCATTCATCAGAGGTGTCTGTAGAATGAGCAACACTTGCCTCCTGTAGGGAAGAGGTAATTATCTCCTATCAACTAGAACCTCATTCAATGAACTATAAACAGCTGGTGGTGCAGAACTATCATCCTCATTTAAAATGGAAATAACTATGGTTTCTGAGTTTCTTCCATTTCAACATATTCATTAAGTGTTCACCCCATGAAAGTTATATTTAAACTATGATTTGGCCATAGTTTAGCTCCCATCACTGTAACACGTACCTACCACTTGCTCTAGTTTCTTTTTTCCTCTTGGTTTTTAAGTGGCCAAGTGCTCTCACCAGGAGCATGAAGTTCATCTTCTGTGTGCTGCTTTTAGTGGTTCTATTTTAGAGAATTTCACATGTAAATCACTTATATCAAAACACCATTTCACATGGACCTAACTTTGAATAGGTATTCAAATATTACCTATTTAAAAAATTCTTGCTTTTTTTCCTTTTTTTTTTTTCTATTTGAAAAGAAAATGTGATTTTTTTTTTAATATTCAAGGAGATGGGGAAAATCTCAATAGGAAAAAGTGTATTTTAGAAAAATTATTTTTCTTTGTTTAGTGTATTTATGATCTTTTTTTTCCTATTTTTAAAGAACTGTATTTTTAATATATATTTTAGAGGTCAAAGTTGCCAGTAACTCAGTCTTCAACTTCTTTGGATATAGGTGAATAAGCGTCCTCTCTCCCATTCCAACAAAATTAAAGATATGTATTTGTAAGGAGGACTTCCCCAGTGGCTCAGCAGCAAAGAATCCTCCTGCAATGCAGGAGATGCCAGTTTCATCCCTGGGTTGGGGAGATTCCCTGAAGAAGGAAATGGCAACCCACTCCAGTATTCTTGCCTGGGAAATCCCATGGACAGATGAGTCCAGCAGGCCACAGTCCATGGGGTCATAAAAGAGCTGGACATGACTGAGAGACTAAATAAAAACAGTAAATCATAAGGAATCCTGTCTCTGACTTGGATTTTTATTCTTTTTTAAAAAGAATAATTTGGGGACTTCCCTGGTGGTCCAGTGGCTAAGACTCTATGCTCCCAGAGTGCAGGGGGGGCCCAGGTTCAATCCTTGGCTGGGGAACTAGATCACACATGCTGCAACTAAGACCTGGTGCAGCCAAATAAATAAATTGTATTAAAAAAAAGAAGAATTTATCACTGGTTTAACTTAATGGGTTAGAGAATTAATCAGAATAGTTGAGCTATTTATGCAGATGTTTTAGAGTGATTTCATTTTTTCCCATTACACCTTTCCTTGGTATTCAAATCTATTGGTGTTTCCATACTATTACTTTTAAGCCTTTTATTACTGTTCAAAGGCTATTTAAGCAACTTAGATTCTGGAAGACTTCAACGGGGCTTAGAAAATGAGTAGTATACTAGGAAATAAAACTAAAAGGGGATAAAAGACAAAGTCTTTGACTTTTGGTTCAGTTCAGTTCAGTTCAGTTGCTCAGTCATGTCCGACTCTTTGCGACCCCATGAACCGCAGCATGCCAGGCCTCCCTGTGCATCACCAACTCTCAGAGTCCACCCAAACTCATGTCCATTGAGTCGGTGATGCCATCCAACCATGTCATCCTCTGTCGTCCCCTTCTCCTCCTGCCCTCAATCTTTCCCAGCATCAGGGTCTTTTTGGTACCTACATTCAAAATAAAAACAAGCACTTCATATAACTTATAGATGGACATTTTAGCAGGCTTTCCTTCTTTAGCCCATCAGCCAGCTATTATATAAAGATGCTAATAATTTTTGTCTAAGTAGAAAATAATTTTAAAAAGGTACAACAGAAACAAATATTTTCAACATTTTAAATTTCTGGGAGATTTTAGTCATTGAAATATCTTGCTATAGTCATAAATAATTCAGATAATTTTATAATTTACTTTTAATGGTTTGTTTGAATAGGTGAAAACATTTTTAGTTTTCTAGATTTTTACCTATACTCATGAAACGTGTGACTTCTCATTATCACAACAAGCATTTTTTTAAAATCCTGATATATTTTGGTATAATGCAAGACCTAGTACAAAGGAAAAAAAACCTAGATTAAACCTCTGTCTTAATCCATAATAGGTTTCATTTTAAAATCTAAGCTTTTCTTTCTGCAGTTCTCCAGTCCTATGAATTGAGCAAATATCCATTATGTCTCATGAAAATCCTGCTTGACTTGTAGTCATATAGGACAGTGAAGTTTGGTTTCAATATTAGATCTCCATTCGGTTATTATCACACGTGTCATGTCTCTCATGTTTGCTGTTCTCAGTCGTGTCTGACTCTCTGCGGCCCCGTGGAGTCTGTGTAATCCATCAGGCTCCTCTATGCGTGGGATTTTCCAGGCAAGGATACTGGATGGGTTGCCCTTTTCCTCCAGGGGATCTTCTCAACCCAGGGATTGAACCTGCATTTCTTGTGTCTCATGCACTGGCAAGCGAGTTCTTTACCACTGCGCTGCCTCGGAAGCCCTTATTGTCATGTACCTGGATTTTACTTGGGAAAAGCAATTTCACCACACACTGGAAAATAAAAAGGTACTAGGGCAAGTGGACTTCAGTGGGACAGAGTTCTATAGTTGTCTCAATTAAAATTATCTTCTCTTTAGAGTTGAAGGCCCTAAGGCATGGCATTAAAGAACTAAACTTATTAAAAATGATAATAATCTTTTTGAAGACAACCCCAGGTGTGCTATGTTAGTCTCAAGTAGAATGGTCCAAGTAATTCTCCTAAGGTCTTAATCTTTTGTATGTTTATCTAAAATGTCCTTCAGCCATAAAGTGAATAGGTAGTATTGGGTTGTTTAAAATACTATTTTGTGCTGGTCTTTAATCTTGTGCTACATGAATTGTAACAAATTGAGAAGTTTTGTTGAGTATATTTCTCTAGTTTCTGATATTAATTTCAGGCTCACTTTAAAAACCACACTGCTAATATATTTGTTATGTGTCTACATTTTACTGTAATGCAGGTCATTTTCCTAGACTTTTGAATGACGTGGAGGAAATTCTTCTTTCATTGTGGTTATTAGAATATACTTTGCAGTTTCTAATTAGCTCATATTAAGCATGTTGGA